GGCTCAAGCCTGTAATCCCAGCACTTTGGGAAACCGGGGCGGGTGGATCACGAGGTTGAGAGATCGAGACCAACCTGGTCAACATGGTGAAACCCCGTCTCTATTAAAAATACAAAAAATTAGTTGGGCATGGTGGCGCGTGCCTGTAATCCCAGCTACTCAGGAGGCTGAGGCAGGAGAATTGCCTGAACCCAGGACGCGGAGGTTGCGGTGAGCCGAGATCGCGCCATTGCACTCCAGCCTGGGTAACAAGAGCAAAACTCCGTCTCAAAAAAAAAAGAGTAGATGAAGCCCTTGTCTTCATGGAGCTTACATTCTTGTGGAGGAGAGAATATTGAAAAGGATAAGCATACAAAAATGAGGTTAACTTAGATCCATTTTTTTATTGTTAAGATCATCGCTTTTGAGCACTTGTTTAAGGCAGATGTCCGGATTAACCATATTGAGGAACTGGAAACTGTGTTAAGTAAGGGTTGACTAAGCCCTGCTTCTGTATGAGAAAGTCCATCTTAGCTTCAGAATGGATGCTGAGGCAACATAAAACTATAGGAATTCATCGCGTTGCATATTTTTGTTTGAATGTGAATTTCCCTGACCTCGAGTGTGAAAAGTGTGTTCACTGGCCATTTGTTTTTTTCTGCTTTGTGATTGTCATATACTCTGCTTGCTTTTCTCTTTGGTTATTTACCTTTCCTTATTAATTTCTAGGCTACTGCTTCACAAGAGGAACATTAACCTCTAGTCTTACAAAACTGTTATCCCAATCTATTATCTGTATTCTGTGCTACTAAAAGCAATGTCTCAATGAAAAAACCCACTATATTAAATAAACATATTTCAGGAATGCCTTTTTAAATAGAATGTGCAGAATATATGTATAATGTATCTATTAGTCTGTTTCTATTTCAGTTTCACTAAATGTTTGTATTCTGCTTATATTCAAAGCATGCTAGGTTGGCCTACTGTCTTCACAGTTTTCAAATCCTTTCAGAGACATTAACCTGTCTGATCTCTATAAGTACTAGAGATATTGATCTAGTAAAGTAATAAAATGAGTTCGAGACCAGCCTGATCAACATGGAGAACTCCCATCTCTACTAAAAATACAAAATTAGCTGGGTGTGGTGACACGTGCCTGTAATCTCAGCTACTTGGGAGGCTGAGGCAGGAGAATTGCTTGAACCCATAAAGGTAGAGGTTTCCGGGAGCCGAGATCACACCATTTCACTCCAGCCTGGGCAACAGGAGCAACACTCTATATCAAATAATAATAATAATGCTAAAATAAAATAAAAATAAAGAAAAACATTGCCTTGATTCAATAGCCACTCATTCTATAGAGGGTGATGAAGAACTGCAAGGGTCTGAGGGCAGATCAGACTTGGGTTTCAGTCCTGTCCCTCGACGGACCGCCTCAGCCTTTGTGAACTCATCTGCAGTAGAAGCCGAGCTCATAGAAGATTAATGAGAACTAAGTCATTTCGAGGGAAGAGAAATGTCAGCACCTCTGCAAAGGCCCCCAGGCAGCCCAGCCCTTGGTTTTCATGTTTGAGCTGAAATGATGTGTTATTAGCCACTGTCCTTGTGCTGTCTTCTTGTTTGTGACCATAAAGGTGATCCTGTGGCAGAGAGAGGTGGGACTGATACAGAATGACCACTTAATGACAGTTTTCAGTCTGTTGAGCCAACTAGAGTGGACAGAGCAGAAATAATGCCGGGGTGAAAGTTAATAGCGTAGCCTGCCCAATTATTTGCTGGAAAAAAATGCCTACTCTGTTGCCACAGACACGAAGCAAAACAAACCTACTGCTCGGGCTAGTTGCTCAGAAGGCATCACATGCTAATCTCGAGTTTGTTCATTAAACCACTGTAGGTAAGTCAGGACAAATGATGTATGTGGTTTTGGGGGTTGGTTTTATTTATGTATTTATTCATTTATTTATTTTTGGATACTGCTGTTTTGAACTATAAATCATGCTGCCGCTCCCCCATCTGTAATCTGCTTTGGCTAAACCATGATGAAACATTTCTCGAGTTTGTTTTGCATTGGCGCTTATCAGAGCTCCTTACTGTAGGACTGGGGCTTGAGGCAAAGAGAAGGGGAAAAAAACCACCAAACCTGCAATGAAAGCCCTTTGCCTCCCTTTTCCACCTCCAACTTTCCCCTCCTGTCTCCACAAGACCTGCCAAGGACACATTTTACAGAAAAGAGTGTGGTTCTAGTAAGAATGAAGAGACTTGGCATCAAAACAGGTTCTTGGATTGTTCCCGTCATATAGTCACATTTCTAGTCTGTGTGTGTGTGTGTGTGTGTGTCTATATATAGTATATATATACAGTATATAGACACACATATATATGTGTTTGTAAATATATTTTTATATATAAACATGTATACATAAATATATAAACATATTTATATACTTGTATGTATATAGAAATATATGTGTATATGTTATATGTATATATGTCATGTAGTATGTATTTCACATATATTTTTAAATATGTATGTAATATTTAAATATGCATACATAATATATAAAATATATATTATATCTTAATGTACATATAAAAATATATTTACATATGAAATATTTTTAATGCATACATATGTATATATGTGTGTATATAAATATTTTTATATTAAAAATATATCTATTTTCTCCATGGGGTAAAGGGAGGCAGTGATAGGCAAGGAAAGAGTGGAATTTAACCCCCGGGAATAAATCAAACCATTTGAAAGCCTTAAGGTAAATGCTTTTATTTTCCATTACTAAGAACAGAAATAAAAATATCAGTTCATTAGCAGGATCAGAAGTGTTGGATGTTTTTCAGAAGAGAAACGACAAAAATCATAGCTAATGCTTATGGAATATATACCAGGTGCCCGGATTTCTGCCAAACCCTCAAAAGAGTTATCTCATTTAGTCTTCTTGATAATCATTTGAAATAAGGGCCACTGTTCTTTATCTTTTCACAGTGGGAGGACCTGGTTGTGTAAAGAGGTTAAGTAACTTTACCCTGGCACTGTGAGCAACTGGGATATAGCCAAACAGACTGGCTTCAGCACCTGGACCAGGGAGCTCTAGAATTAAGGCTCTGGTTTCTATCCAGCTGACTGATGTTGGGGAGAATATTTTTAAGGCCCCGATTTGCTCACCTGTAAACATAAAGGGGTTGGGATGGGTGATCTCAAAGATCCCCACCAACTCTCTAGCAGCTCATCAGATTAATATCCAAATCAATATCCATCGCATCCAGGGCACTGTTGCTGTTCATGCCTATAGTTCACTACAGGAAGGTAAGGGGTGCAGTGGGACAGAGAGGAGGTAGGGTAATGGCTGCATTCTGCCCCCAATGTTTTCCTAACAGGAGCAGCTGTTCCAGTTGCCACAAGCCCAGGCAGGTGGGATTGCTAGGTGACTGCAGGAGTGAGACAGGAGCAGGGCCCACTCTTAACACACCTCACGTGGCTGCCACAGTTGATCTTTTAGTTGAACCAGTTACTTTCTCCCTTGGAAGTGTCCTTACCGTCCACATCAATCCCCAATGCACTTCACATTGGTTGTGAGATGGCTTGCAGCCATGCTAACAGGTGAACTCTGAGAACCATCTGTAATGCGACCAGACCTGCTCTTCCTGGTTTGTCTAAATTATACTGACCGATACTTCCAGGAATTTTGCAGCAGCTCTGATGCTTTTTTTCTTTCTTCAGAAAAGGAAGTTGGAGAGGGTGTTGGGTTGAAAGGAGAATGAGAATCCTTTAAGTTCTTTGAAATCACCTCAAATCTGAGGTTGTCAGGCTTTTAAAGAGAGCCAGTAGGTTAGCCACTCCACATATTGTAGATAATACTGTGTCAACAGCTCATGTTTTCCGAAGCTCTCTTTGTGAAATGGGAACGAACTTTTGCTCCCTGGGAACACTAATGATCACATTTCTCTCCAGCGTGCAAACTTAGGTGTGTTTGCTTCATTATATGATAGCAACACCAACTCTTTCACATGAAATGTCACTCCTAGGTTCCATCTGCCCTCATGTCGTGCCTCTGCTCCCAAGAATATAATTCATGGTTCCCTCTTCCCATAGTTACTCTGTGTGTGTGTGTGTGTGTGTGTGTGTGTGTACTATATTCTGACACATCATTAGAATCCAAGTTAATCTACCTCACCAGATACTTTTCTGTCACTGATAATCTTCTATTTAGACACGTTACAAATGTATCTTTTTAAATCATATTTTAAAAAAATGGAATCTTGCTCTGTTGCCCAGGCTGAAGTGCAATGGCATGATCTCAGCTCACTACAACCTCTGCCTCCTGGGTTCAAGCAATTCTCCTGCCTCAGCCTCCCAAGTAGCTGGGATTACAGGCATGTGTCACCACGCCTGGCTAATTTTTGTATTTTTAGTAGAGTTGGGGTTCCACCATCTTGGCCAGGCTAGTCTTAAACTCCTGATCTCGTAATCTGTTCACCTCAGCCTCCCAAAGTGCTGAGATTGATTACAGGCATAAGCCACTGCTCCCAGCCTTTAAATAATTTTTTGGAGAGTCAGGGTCTCACTGTTGCCCAGGGTGGAGTGCAGTGCTGCGATCATAGCTCACTACAGCCTTGACCACCTCGGCTCAAGCAATCCTCCCACCTCAACCTCCTGAGTAGCTGGGACTACACGTGAGCCACCATGCCTGGCACACATGCATTTTTCATTATCCATGTCTGTATGTTCCCAGGGGTAGAGATAACACTAAAATGAAAAGAGGTGGCAGAGAACAGGAAGAGAAATAAACCAGGGGAGCCAATATCTTTAAATGCTTTGGCTTCCAAGGACTGCTGGCAGGTTGTGGGACCAGCCAGAAAAAATAGAGCCTCTGATTCTAGAAGGCTTGGAGAAAGCGTGAGAAGAGAAGGGAGATCAGATCAGAATAGATTGATGGAAGGAGGGCGGTGAGGGGGAAGCAAGAGAAACTCAACTCGAGTGAAAAGGACCCGTCATTCCTTTCCAGAACGTAATTTGCCAAGATCCACCACTTGCATTTCATATGTAAATGAAGAGGCTTCCCGGAGGCTAGGCTGGGCTGGGCTTAGCTGAATCTCTGCAAACAGCAGGGATTCAGCCCTGGGGAACTGCAGACCTAAGTGCCGGAGGAAAGCACCGCATCTCCAGGCACATCCCACAAAAAGGATGGACGAGACACCATAGAGGAGGATACAGGAGGATTAAAGCATTCAGGAAAAGCAAGCCAGCCCTCTGGAGAAGCTGTCGAAATTTGAGACTGGCAAGAGAAGTAAATTCAACCTCTCACACTGATCATTTCTCATTCACTGAAAAGAAGAGATTCCTTCCCCAGGGAAGTGAAGATAATGAACTTTTGGAGGTACTGCTTTCTTGCTTGTACTCTGCTCAGTGTGGTCATTTTTGTGAGATTTTACAATAGCCATTTGAGCCCGCCAAAAAGTTACGAGAAGCTGAACAGTTCCAGTGAAAGGTATTTCAGAAAAAATGCCTGTAATCACGCCTTAGAGGAAAAGCCCATCTTTTTGTGGGAAAACATATTACCATCACCTTCACGAAGCATCCCTTGCGAGGATTACCTGACCCAGAATCACTACATCACAAGTCCCCTGTCGGAAGAAGAGGTTGAATTCCCTTTGGCCTATGTCATGGTCATCCATAAGGACTTTGATACCTTTGAAAGGCTCTTTAGGGCTATCTATATGCCCCAGAATGTCTACTGTGTTCATGTGGATGAGAAAGCCCCAGCTGAGTTCAAGGAATCTGTGAGGCAGTTACTGAGTTGCTTCCAAAATGCTTTCATTGCTTCAGAGACAGAGTCTGTGGTTTATGCAGGAATTTCCAGGCTCCAGGCTGACCTGAACTGTCTGAAAGATCTTGTCACCTCCGAGGTTCCCTGGAAGTACGTCATCAACACCTGTGGACAAGACTTCCCCCTGAAAACCAACCGGGAGATAGTTCAGCATCTGAAAGGATTTAAAGGGAAAAATATCACCCCCGGGGTGCTGCCCCCTGATCACGCCATTGAGCGAACTAAATATGTCCACCAGGAGCATACAGGTAAAGGTGGCTCATTTGTGAAAAAGACTAATATTTTGAAAACCTCACCTCCACATCAGCTGACTATCTACTTCGGCACTGCCTATGTGGCGCTTACCAGAGGGTTTGTCGACTTCATTCTCCATGACAAAAGGGCCATTGATCTACTACAATGGTCAAAAGATACCTACAGTCCTGATGAGCATTTCTGGGTGACACTCAATAGGATTTCCGGTAGGTACTAATTTCCATTCTCATTTCCTCTCGTTGATGGATTGAGTTTGCTAACATTCTGCTCTCCCTAGAGAACTGACTAGTGCAATTATTATGAAATAAATTTAAATACTCAGACAACCATTAGTTTGGTTGCGTGTAGCAACACTGTATTGTTGACTCTGTTGTCTTAGAAGTATGCGTGATATAGTCATCTAAGAAATGCTGGGTTGCAGTTGTCCCAGCGAAACTACCTTTGATTACGTAGTTGTTGAATTTTAACTGTTTTTTGAATTAATACTTTTCATAGTCCTTGACAAACACAGCTGTAACATAACAAAATTGACATTTAACATAAACATTCTCGAACGTATGAGTTGAAATAGGTGGTGTTTCTCTCAGACAAATGTTAGACAGCATTTCCCCTTGATGCAGTCCCACTGCTCAAAGTTCATGGAGCTGTTACAGGGGTACTGGTTTTAGGATCTTGGGAGCTGATTTGGATATTCACACATCATCATTCTGGCTGAAATATCTCCGGTGTAAGATCGGAACACGTAGCCAGGTCTCAGCTCTTCTCAGTTCTACAAATTTAGCCTGATATTTTAGCCTGGAGGAGCGGGTAACAATGAGTTGAAACATACGAAGAGAGAATTTAGCTAAAGATGATCCAAAGAGAATTCTCAATTTTTAAGTCATAGGTTTTTATTGGAAATTCCAGTGTGCAGTCTCTTGTTTTTATATACTGTGAAGTCTTCGGTTCATGATGATTTGGGAAGGCGTCCAAGGTATGCCAGGCAGCTGAGGCAGAAAATAGCATCAGGCTCCCGCTTTGGTTCAGGACTGGGTTTCTTTTCTAAACTCTGTTTCCCATAGGTGGTCTGTGACCTGCATTTCATTTTTCCCGTGTGTCCTCATGTGCTTGTTTTCAGCAGCGACCCAGCATTGTTGTGGGTGTCAGTCCTGTGTGAGGGTGGCCTTATGCCTGCCATTCTTGAACTTGAACTCCCGACCTCAGGTGATCCACCTGCCTTGGTCTCCAAAGTGCTTGGATTACAGGTGTGAGCCACCTCACCCGGCCACCTGCCATTCTTGAAATAACTCCCGGCTCTTCTGTCTAGTGTCCTTATCCTTCACACACTTTCAAGTGCTGCTTGAAGCCACCTAATGCCTGAAAGTAGACTTAATGCGGAAAGTCCCCCAATAACACAGCATTCCTAAGAGCTAAACTAGAGTGGTGGTCACAAAAATCTACTTAAAGAGAGACAGAAAGAGGATGGGCAAGGTGGCTGGAGACAAGAAAATTATGCTGTCCCATGAGCAGTTTATTTCCAGAGCTGCTGAACTGTCAGGTCACAAAGACTTGGAGGATGGGGAGTGAACCAACATTTATCCTAGTGGTGTGAGTGTTAACCCTTTATTTACAATCGCCTATTTGAAACACACATAAACATTGCATGCATGGCATTTAATCTTATTTTTGTTGGTATGGTTGGTGCCAGATATGTGGTAGCCTCTTGTACAGCTGAAGAACATGAGGCTTAGAGAGACTGAAGCACTATTGTGTTGATGCTGTTCACATAGTGTTTCTTGGCAAAGCTGGTATCTGACTCTGCATTTGTGTAGACTGAAGTTTGGACACAAACTTCTCTTGCACCAGGAAAAGAAGGAATGACCATTTCTTTTTTCCTGCATATGTAAAGAAAATTTCCTGCAGAATCCCAAAAAAGGGAAAGGATGAAGGTGTTCGGAAAAAATGAGGAGGGTCGTGGAAGGAAGTTTGACCTGAATGACTTAGAGCTGGAGATGAGGTTAGCAGGGATAAGGAGTGTGTGTGGGATATATGTGTGTGTGTGTGTGTGTGGGATGTATGTGTGTGTGTGTGTGTGTGTGTGGTGTCCCAATATGCTTGTGTGGGATGTGGCATGTGTGTGTGTGTTTGTAGTATGTACGTGGTGTGTGTGTATGTGTGTGGTGTGTATGTGTGGTATATGTGCATGGTGTGCATATGGTGTGTGTATGTGTCTGGTGTGTGTGTAGTGTATGTGTCTGGTGTGTATGTGTGTGGGGAGTGTTTTGTGTGTTTGTAGTGTGAATATGTGTGTTTGTAGTGTGTGGATATGTGTGTTGTAGTTGTATGGCATGTGTGTATGTCTGTGTCTGTGTAGATAGCAAGTATGTGAGGCTTGTCAAGGTCACTGTGCTCATGAGAGTCACCAGGTGTCCTTTCTCCAAAGCCACTATCCCTCACAGGCTTCTGTGCTGTATGCTGGGTGCATCTGGAGCAGGCTTTGTTCTGGGCCAGTGGCAATGGGAAGTAGCCCTTGGCTGATGTTCTCAGAAGCTGGGGAGTAAGAAGGAATCAGGCAGATTTGAACGGCTGAGTATTAAGTTTTAGTGACTTTTTCTTATGAGTGTATTGGGCTAATTTTCCCTCACCTCAACCACTTGCAAAAAAAATTTTTCCTGAATATTTTAATTTTTTTTTTTTTTTTTTGGCCTGGCTCTGTGGCTCACACCTATAATCACAGTACTTTCGGAGGCTGGGGTGGGTGGATCACCTTAGGTCAGTAGTTTGAGACCAGCCTGGTCAATATGGCAAAACCCCGTATCTACTAAAAATACAAAAATTAGCGGGACATGGTGATGTGCGCCTGTAGTCCCAGCTACTTGGGAGGCTGAGGCAGGAGAATCACTTGAACCCAAGAGGTGGAAGTTGCAGTGAGCCAAGATCGAACCATTGCACTCCAGCCTAGGTGACAGCAAGACTTCATCTCAAAAAAATACATAAAAATAAAAAGTTTAAACTTTTTAAAGTTAGCTTTTAAAAAACAATAGGAAATATATTTTAAAGGTCTCAAAATTTTAAAGTTTTCCCTCTGTCAGCTACCACTGTTAATACTTCCTTGTTCATCCTTCCAGAGGTACTTTATTATGTGTATAGACAAGAAAACTAATTAAACATGTAGAGAACATTACATATGGACTTTGAGTTCACTACGGTTATACTCAGAAAAGGAAAAAGGGTCCTTATTTTAGGTGCCATATTGTCTGAGAAACAAAATACAGCAAGATGTGTTCTTTAAATAGATCAAATGCAGATATTTAAGAAACTCTTCATTATTTTGAAGCAGTTTTAAAGCTAGATATGAGGAACTTTCTGGAATGAAGTTATTTGCCTTGCAGCATCCAATCACAATGAATGTGCAGAATTCTCACTGGTAGAACACCTGCTGTACCCCCAGGCTTTACAACGGCTTCTCCTTACTTTTTTTTTTTTTTTTTTTTTTTTTGAGACAGACTCTCGCTCTGTCCTCCATGCTGGAGTGCAATGGCATGATCTTGGCTCACTGCAACTTCCACCCCCCGGGTTCAAGCAATTTTCCTGCCTTACCCTCCCAAGTAGCTGGGATTACAAGCAGATGCCACCACACCTGGCTTATTTTTGTATTTTTAGTAGAGACGGGGTTTCACCAAGTTGGCCAGGCTGGTCTTGAACTCCTGACCTCGTGATTTGCCCACCTAGGCCTCCCAAAGTGCTGGGATTACAGGTGTGAGCTACCACTCCTGCCCTGGCTTCTCCTGATTTTAAGGGACCTTTTAGACTTGGCCAGACAAGGTGGCTCACACCCACAATTCCAGCACTTTAGCAGGCTGAGGCAGGAGGACTGCCTGTGGCCTGGAGTTCGAGTCCAGCCTGGCCAACATACTGAGATCCTCGTCCCTACAAAAAATTTAAAAATTATCTGGGCGTAATGGTGCATGCCTATGGTCCCAGCTACTCAGGAGGCTGGGGAAGGAGGATTGCTTGAGCCTGAGAAGTCAAAGCTGCAGTGAGCATGATTGCACCACACCACTGCAGTCCAGACTGGGTGACAGAGTGAGAATCTGTCTCAAAAAAAAAAAAAAGGCCAGGCTTTAGCTCTTCATGTGACATGACTTCCAAGGCCTGGCCCCCCACCCCCTCTGTCTCTACCCTCATTTCTTTGTATTTGATGCCTCCTACTTCATGTACCAGCAACTACTTGGTCCCACACATATCAGCAATTTTCATCTATTTTTTTATGACATCCTCTCATAAAGAATGCCTTTCCTACCGTCTCTGTCTAACTCTTCATCTTTATGGCCCACCTTGGAAGTCATTTTCTCTGGAAGTCTTGTCTGATCACCACCCTCCCAGATGTGTTTCAACTCTAGGGTCTCCTTGACCTAATGCCACTGCTGCCAGCATTGAATTGTGGTCACCTATTAGCTGAATAGCTCTTCTACCGAACCTCCTCAGTATTTCAGCTCCTCAAGCGTGAGAAAAGTGACATCTGTCTTTGTGTTCTCCACCACTCCTCCTGTGCTGCACGAATAACTGTGCACCTGCTTGATCTGACAATATGCGGGGTGCCGGATGGGTATGGGAGGACCTGGGGAGGAGCAGGAATGTGCTGGAGAATTCAGAAGATGCGTGGAACAAAAGTGTACCCTGTACCTAGGTTGAGGGATAATTCTTGGTAGTAAAGATTAGAGAAACAGTAGGTAAAAGTCCACCACAGCCAGGCCAACCAATGATATCAGTAAATATGAGAGAGTCCCGAGAGAATTAGCAAGCCCCATTTTACTCCTGATAAAATGTTAATGGGATAGATCCCTTCGTTAGAAAATCTGGCTCCCGGGGTGAGGCGCTGACACGGTTTAGCTGTGAGTCCTGGGCCAGGCGCAGCTAAAAGCCCCGCAACCCGGGAGACGCCAAAACAAGCCGGAGGGCTTGGGATTCCGGAGCAGTCGCCGCAGCCGCTGCTTCTGCCGCCACGCACGCCCCGACCCGCCGCGGGAGGACTCGGCCCTGAGAGGCCTGTACTAGGCGCGGCCCGCGGAGCCAGACGTGTTGCTGCCGTGAGTAAAACGAGCGCCCTCTCCGCAGTCGTTTACAAATTAAAATGGAGGAAATTTCGTTGGCCAACCTGGATACTAACAAGCTAGAGGCCATCGCTCGGGAGATTTACGTAGACCTGATAGAGGATTCTTGCTTGGGATTCTGCTTTGAGGTGCACCGGGCAGTCCAGTGTGGCGACTTCTACGTGGAGTTCGCAGAGGCTGGTAGCGTGAAGGATTTTGGCATTCAGCCAGTGGAAGACAAAGGAGCGGGCCGTCTCCCGCTTTGCTCCCTTCGGGGACAACCTGGGAATGGGCCTGATCAGCAGCTGCAGCGCTCACCTCCGGAATTCCAGTAGCTGCAAAATGAGATTCTGAGAGTGGCCAAGACAATAACGTAGACTGGCGCTTGGAGGAGTAAGCTAAGTAGAAAAAAGTAGAAAAAAAAGAAATCAGACAAAAGTTCTAATTCCCCTTGACGATCCTAGCATTTAAAAACCCAAAGTGGATAATTTAGGAATCCTTTTTTAAAGTGTATCACCTGGAGCCAGCTCTGAAGCCCTGGGCAGGAGGAGCTGCACAGCCTGCAGCCATGCAGTGCCTGTTGATCTCTAAACATACCAGGATGTGCGCAAGATTCTGTAGTGCCCCCAGTGCACAGGTGAGCAGTGTGTGCCCAGCATATAACATTTTTGGTTCCTCAGCTTTTCTGTCTGCCTGATGTCAAGGACTTCCTGGACAGTTTGTACATTACAGTTCATCAGGCCATAATCAGTGGCCTGCAATGGGACTGCTCATTTGATAACTGAACCTCTGATATGGGCTTCTCTGAGACAAGTAAATGCAAGATCTGGATACTAACAATTTCAATTTGGGAAATCCAAGAAAAAAAATTCTCAAGTTTGGTAGGGAAGCTCTGTAGCCCTGACTCCAGCAAGAAGAAATGGTTGAAATCACCTGCTTCCCAAAGGTCCAACCTTTGCAATTATTTCAGCTGAGGAGAAGGCCTAGCATTTGGCTGAGCAGTGCCCTCTTCCTTGCCCTCCAAACTGGTGGCATAAGCTTCGCGCTTGGACAACTTGGTTTCCAGTCAGGCTGAGGATTTGGCTATGATCCCCTGGGGAGGTAGAGGGGACCTCTGCAACTACGCACAATCTCTCAAACTGCAAAATTCATGTCTGGATGTATTATGCTGTGGACATAAGTTTAGGAGGGTGGTCATTTCCTACTCTGGGTACTGGTTACCTAGCCAGTCCATGGGTGTGGCCTGGTCATTAAGCCAGGTCACTAGCTGCCTCCCACCCTGGGGGCGGGACTGAGCTATAGAAGAGCATCAAGGCTGTGCTGGATGGAGGCTGTGATTTGAAAACAGCCCAGAGGGGATCTCTTTCAGCTGCCCTCAATAATGTGAATGGATTAGTGCTGGCGGAGGAGCCAAGGAGCAGGACTGGATTATCTCGTCTGACTGCAGAATATTGTTGAATGTTCCTGGTTCTTTGGTTGGGAAGTCAGAGCTCCACTATGGTGAACATCCATACTGTCACCACCTTCTCTCTGTCCCTCTAAAGGGGCAATCCATTCCACTCGGTCCCTTTTGGATCTTCTTGACAACAAGAGCAGTCCTTTTATTGTTAGAAGTCAGAGAAAGACCTCTAGAATCTCCTGACTTCAGGGAATGGTATCGGGATAGGGGAAGATGGGAAGTAAGAGCCACATATCAAAACTACTCTCTACTTTATTCCCTGAGTGAGGGTTTGTGAAGTATAAAGGAGTGGGAGCCCCGAGGTGAGCGGGAACGGTGCTGCTTTATTGGAAATGTTTTCTTACCTCATTCTGTGCCCCAGTAGAGGGTCCAGCCTCATATGTCTGGCTTGGCCCCATGTTCCTCCTGTTCCCTGCTCCACTGCCTATCTGGTGCCCCAGGTGCTGCTTGCCACTCCAGCTTTCACAATGACCAGTTTCATTTCAGCTCTTAATGCTCCTGCTTAAGCCTGCCCAATTGCTTTTCTTTCTTTCTTTCTTTTTTCCCCTGTCTTTATAGAAGACTCAGAGGAGAATCTTTCTTTTGGCTCCCTTTGTTGGGATTGGAATTAGAAGAGAACTTAATTTTTTGTATTTAAAATGCAATGTCATGCCTAAGCATTTCATCATATAGGACTGCCTTGCTAGTGTGCCCTCTTGCTGTGTTTTACTTCATAAGGAGTTGTATCTTCCCACCTCCATTTCAATACTGCCTGTTAGGACCTAAGTAGAAGAGCAGTAAAGGCTGATTGACACACAGGGGAATGGAGTTGGTCCTTATCCATTCTCTCACCCTTGCTGTGCATGTATCCTTATCCCAGAAGGTACTATTTGGACTGTATAGACTGATTTAGATTACATACTTTAGAGGGTTAAGGAAACCATAGAGATCGGGCATTGGAACTGTCTGTTATTGCTGCCTTCTCCTAGACTTGTGCTGATCAGCCTTGGGGCCTAGTTACAGATTAGTCTTCAAGAATTGCAATAACTTTAAAAAAAAAAAATAAAACTTTGTCAAGAGCTAAAATAATTTGGATATATCTTTGCCCTTGTAGACATCTAAGAGGATGAAGAAAGAGTTTAAGTGAGACTGTGGCCTACTTCCTAACAATGTCTTGGAAGTGGGATGATGGAGAAAGGCCATGGTCCAATCCCTCTACCTTCAGATAGGGGACTCAGATCTTGAAATTACTGTTTTCTTTCTGGCCTTTTCTCCTGGTTAGAGGAGGAAATGGGAAGTAGTTTGGAGTAATGGTTTATTCACATTACCCCCTTTTTGTTTTTTGTTTCTGGCCCCTCTACCAATAGGGCAATAGCCCCCTGCCCTGCATGGGTATAAAGTGGGCTTGGTCCAACAGGTGCCCAGAGGGTACAGACTCATTTCTGGGGAGAGAATTCTCCCTACCATATAATTGACAGTGGTTAGGAACTCTCCTTTTCCCTACCTACCTTCCTTTTTAACAGCAGAATTCCTGTTTTCCCCTTCTCGGTTAAGTGTATTGATCACCCTGCAATCAATATTATGTATCTGAGTGTGTGTGTGTGTGTTATGGGGGAAAGGGGTTCTTTAAAATTTCTGTGGTTTGTGGCTTTTTCTTCCATACATTAGTTCCCACCATCGCATGCCCAGGGACCACTACCTGGCATCAGCGCATGCTGGGATCATTGGGGGAGGGTAGTGAAGCTCACCACTGTCCTTTGTTTTGGAGATTCTTATTTTTGCATAAGTAGTCCATCCTATACAGATAGCTGACTAACTGTATTTCCCTTTCCTCTATGGCTGCCGGTGTAAATAAGCTGCATCTCCCCATTGGTAAACAGTAATAAACAAAATTTTTAAAAATGGCAAAAAAAAAAAAAAAAAAAGAAAATCTGGCTCCCACACAGCCAACCTGGGTCCATGATGCAGTTGGATTCTGATGCCAAGAGAAAGCTGTGGCAGGCGATGCATGTGGACGCCCCCACTCAGTTTCCACCTCACTTGCACCTGGTGTGAGTTTCCTCCACACCTGCCACCCACTCCCACCTCCTGCTAGTACCACTCCCGGGCTACTCACATTCATGCACTGAGCGTCTTCTAACTTAATTTGATCTAGACTTCTCCCAAATGGCTGGCTTAGGGAAAAAACCAATAGGAGAGGTTTAAGAAAGAAACTCCAAACATCTCTCCAGCTCTCAACAACTGTAAACACTGAGCTATTTAGAAGGTATGTGTTCTCTGCAGAAAGGTTACCAGGGCCTTAAATCTGCGTGTGGCTGGATCAGTCCCAGTCTTTTTCAAAGTATGTATTGTGTTCTCCGTGAATTGACTTTGAATTCGGTTTCTAGGGCCACAAAGGATGCATTCACTCATGCTGACTGAATTGGTGACTGAGAGTTATAAACATTGAATGACAGGGTAGAATCATGTCTTAACAAACGTCACCAGGACATTCGAGTCTACAATAATGCTATCTTTGGGGGCCAGAGGAAAATCCACACTGGCATTTGTCTTTTCAATATGGAGATAAACTCTGGCTGAAGGAGAAATTCCACAAAACAGATACTTCCATAGATTCATATCCACAGAACAAGAGTTTTAAAATAATATTTTTGGATAGCCAGATAATATTAAGAATTTGAACGTGATTTTCAAAATACTGAATTAGTGATGTGGGCCTGTTCGGCTTATTTAACCTCTTCGGTAAAGGGCTCTAGGTTCTTTTCAGGTCAGTAATTCAGGTAGGATCACAGGGGAAGATTTTTAATTTACAGTGTGTCCCTGTTCTTGAGTACCTAGACTGATGAGTCTGCATCATAGGATGCTGAGCTCCTGGAAGAGAAACCTTAGGCAGGTTATAAAGTATTTATATGATAAGCTATGCTGACTCTACGGCCATTTGTAGAATCATTTGTGATGTTTCCAGCCACTGGCTCCACTGTACTGTTTGGGAAGGATCATTTCCTTCATTGGGGAATCTGTACCCTAACATTTCTGTCCCCTACCCCTAAAAAGGACATAATTGGGAAATGCTACTATTAATTACCTCTTAATTCCTAATATCTAGAACAACATTTTATAAAATAAGAAAAATTGGATTAAAGTACATATTAGTGTAAAGTATATTTAAGGTGAAAATTCAATTAGGTGTAAGTACAATCATGACTGGTAAACATCCACTAAGCTGAATTAACATGAATTTAATTCTGGCACAAAGGATTATTAACATCCTTTCCACTGCTTCAGTGCTGGCAAGTTCATTTTTCCAACTCATTCAACTTTCTCTCATTCCTTACCAATTGAATAAGATGACTTTTTCTAGAAACAGCAGTTGTTTTTGTTTTTGTTTCATTTTGTTTTGAGATAGGGTCTCCCTCTGTCACCCAGGCTGGAGTGCAATGGCACTCACTGCAGCCTCAACCTTCTGGGCTCAAGCAGTCCTCCTGCCTCAGGCTGCCAAGTAGCAAGGACTACAGGCATGCACTACTATACCTGGCTCATTTTTAAATTTTTTGTAGGCTGGGTGAAGTGGCTCACTCCTGTAATCCCAGCAATTTGGGAGGCTGAAGTGGGCGGATCACGAGGTCAAGAGATTGAGACCATCCTGGCCAACATGGTGAAACCCCCATTTCTACTAAAAACACAAAAAAATTAGCTGGGCACAGTGGCAGTCTCCTGTAGTCCCAGCTACTCAGGAGGCTGAGGCAGTAGAATTGCTTGAACCCGGGAGGCGGAGGTGCAGTGAGCCAAGATTGCACTCCAGACTGGTGACAGTGTGACACTCTTCTCAAAAGAAAAAATAATTTAGAGATGGGATCTCAATATGTTCCCCAGGCTGGTATCCAACTCTGGGGCCAAATTGATTCTCCCCTCAGCCTCCCACAAGTGCTGAGATTACAGGTGTGAGACATGGCACCTAGACACTTTGTTTTAAACAAAGTATTGCATTTCAGTGGATCTTAAAAACAATAAAATATTCGATGTATATCAAAGCTATGTATAATTAATATATGTATATGTCAATGTACATAGTACAATGTAATAGTACATATACATATGTCAATATATATGCAACATCTAAATTATCTCTCAAAAATACATATGTCTACCCTATTTCTCTTTACATAATACAAAAAACACCTCCTTCCATCCTTCTTTGG